GAGAGCCTTGGACATAAAGCAGGAGGGTTTGTGAAAGAAGATATCCCAGAGAGCTGGAGCCTTGCTCTGCTGTGTCGACATGTCTAGAGCTCAGAATAAAATTGAGTTTCCTGCTTTAGCCATAGCTGGGTCTTAAAATAACCTGAAGAAATTATAGTTCTGATTACATAGAAAGTGAAGGACTTAGAACATTCTCCTAATAAAGCCATGAGAATGACACGAAGCTTAGTCACCGGCAGTCCTTCTCTAACAGGCATTTTAGAGAGAAAAATAGAGCTCTGAAATTGGATAATTTGATTTGAAATCTTGCCTAATAATTTTAAGAATTCAAAAAAACCTTTCTTTTTTGGCCAAAAAAATTAATGATCTAGAATCCAATTATGAAAGAACAGGCTTTTAAAATGTTTGATAGCTCCAGTAATAGAAAAAAATATAATGGCCTGAAAAATCACATTCTACTGGAAATCTCAATCTTGGGTATCTTTGCTTTTTGCATTTTGAATGGGCGCATTTAATGTCATTTCCTTTTGGGAACATGGCGTTGGAACAGTAGATGGGGTATTTGATTCTGTGTTGGAGCCTATCTGCTAGAGTACAGATTTTAGGAGCAAAACACTTCTTGTTTCACTTTAATTCACAAAGGGAGATGTCTCACTTGATGCCTTGACATGTGTCATATCACAAATCGTTTACATGGAATTCGTGCCCATCATCCATCTATTTGATTCACACACCATGAATGAAATAAACAAAATGGATAAAGCTTCTAATACTTCCAGTGAAAAAAATAGTGCTATTACTTTCACCTTTAATGGGCTACCCCACATGGCATTGATTGCCACACTGTCTCACTCTGTTTATTTATGTGCTATTTACTTTCTCAGGATAGTTTGATTCACATAGTGCTTGGGATGTAGCCATATCAGTAGTATGACTGATCATAAACAGTAGTCTAGGATTTCCAACTTTAAGAAAATAACAGGATAACAAAACAAGTAAAGGGAATGTATATTAAGATATTTAATTTTTACTTATAAATAAAAAGGAAAACATTCAATTAATAAGACTTTTTGATTAATATTCAGAAATGGTTCCAGTTATTTTTACTGGATAGTTAGCTGGATTTTTGTATTTCACATTAGATTGAGATTCAACTAAGCCTTCGCAAAGTGCCTTGAAACAGGAGGTTGAAAAAACATTTGTTGAAAGGAAAAAATCAGTTATTGAAATATTGTGTCTTCTGTTACCATTCTTGAGAAACAGTGGTGAGACAACTTAGTAGAAGTGACTAACAACGACAGAGATACAGAAGACAGGATGTAAGTCTCCAAGGTAATCAAGACCATCAAGAGGATGTTAGACCAAAATTAACACCGAGAGAAATGTGTTATGCATATATTACAGCCCACGGGGAGAAATCTGTTCATTTATAGGGAAATTGCCTCGCTGTGAATGGCTAAGTTGGCTCCTCGAAGCACACATACACACACACACAGACACACACACACCCCACTTAGGGCCATTCAGAAGTAACAACCATACATTGAAAGATTTAAAATAATAAAGCATCTCATTATTAAATACATGTTTGGACCTAGGGATGGACAGTTTAACAGAGAAATAAATGATAGGGATGTGGAGGACTCCAGGGTTAATTAAGGTCCCAGACTAAGAAATTCCGAGGAGCCAGAACCTTCTAACCATATGCTCAGCATCCACTCCCAGCTCCCAGGCCACGTTTTCATTTCTCCTCTTTATCCCCAGGATTGGTAGTCTGTCCTTAGCCTTTTCCCAGGTGTACAACCAAATAGGATCTTAGTGTCTTAACTTTGAATCCAATATAACATAAAGTTCTTTTGCTAGTACTAACAGGATAAAGGCAGCTTATGAACACACACATACACACACACACATTCAAAAAATCTAATTTCTTGCCCCATATAATTTTGATTTCGATTTTCTAGGTAAGGCAGTTGAAAAGGGGACAAGGATGTCTTAAAAAATAGTAATAGTCCATGAGATTCAATGAAGTGGTAAGAACTTTCAGTGTACGCTATTGTACTCCTTCCTCTGTAGGTGGTAAAAAAAGTGAGGAAACTGAGCACCTACAGGTTGAGCAACTTAAATTAAAAGCCATTTATAGGATGAGAGGAGAGATAACTGGAAGAAGATATTTAAAAATATAACCTTCCAGGTATAGAGAAATAAGTATGAGCAATATAATGTACAGCATGAAGGCTAGAGTTCACAATGTTGTATGATACTATATAGGACAGTTGTTCAGAGAGTAAATTCTAAGCGTTCTCATCACAAGAATATTTTTTCTTGTGTCTACAGGAGATGGTGGATGTTAACTAGACCTGTTGTGGTAATCATTTCACAATGAATGTAAATCAAACTATCATGCTATATTCCTTAAACTCACACAGTGATGTATGTCACTTATCTCTCAGTAACATGGGGAAAAACATTTGTGGGTGCCCACTGAATGAATGGTGTGAATCCAGAGGGAATGATGCTTACAGAGCACACTGTGTAGAGTGGAGGGAAAGGTGAAGTAAACAGAATGGAAAAAACGGATAGCCAAAACTGGATTACGCAAAATTGGGAAGATCTTGTTACCTTTCAAAGGAGGTAATTGAAGGGAACTTCCCTTTGTTTGAGGGGGGCTGGAAGGCCCAGGAAGAGGTGAGGCTATAAAACAGGCAGGAGACAGATGATTAAGGGCCTTTAATTCCAGGCTAAGACAGTGACTGTGCACCTCCGAAGGATTTTAAGCAGTGGAGCTGCATGATCAGAAATACTTCTTAGAAAGGTAACTTTGGTTACAGTGTAAAGGAGGGGGCACTCCTTAAAATGAGTTGTGTGAGCCCTAGCCAGTGTGGCTCAGTTGGTTGACATCATCCCGTGCACCAAAAGGCCGCTGGTTGAATTTCCTGGTCAGGGTACATACCCAGGTTGTGAGCTTGATCCCCGGGAAGGGGGCTTACAGGAGGCAGCCTATCCATGTGTGTGTCTCTCTCTCCCTTCTCCCTTCTGCTCTCCCTAAAATCAACAAAAACATTTTTTAAATGAGTTGTATGACTATCATTCAGCCTGTTAACTATTAACTATATGTGCCTCGGCAGAAATAGGGAGAAAATAATGAGTGGGAACTGCATGGACCACAAATAGAGAAATTATAACTTGATGTAAAAATTAGAGGACAAAAATCTAGCATGTCTCTTAGTTTTCTAGCCTTCATGACTGGATAGATGTGATGCCATTATTCACTCATTTGACAGGATTTTTTCTGACCCTTTATGTGCCAGACATTGGTTAAATGCCTAAGATAGATGAGGGAACAGAACCAACAACCATGTACACTTGCCCTGTGGAGCCTGGTGGGAAACATTGACCAGTTTCACTGGGTAAGGGACAGGGAAAGGATCATAGCAGAAAACCCTTAAGCAGCAAAAACACAGGAGGGGAGAAATCCCCCTGGAAACTTCAACATCTGGCTCGGTTAGCTGTTGTCAGAATAATCAAGTAAACATTGTATATGGGCATTGGGCCTCTGTGCACACACACATCCTTACATGTATACATATATTTACACATAAAATGAAGCCGAAGATGATAATACGTATATACTTCACTACTGTATTCCTTTGAGGACTAGAAGCGATTTTTTATACTTGAAGACAATTCTAACTATAGTCTTAAGGAGTGCAGGGATTTGAAACTCAGAATTACTAGTCAGTTGTAAACTTCAGACGTAGACCATTGCCTTTTGTCATTGAAAGGAACTAACATTGCTTCAGCCCTCTGCTTTGTGAGGGGGGCCACTCTCAGAGTTATACTTGAGAGGCTCACTCCCTGCTATTATTAGTAGTTGTCCAAGTTACAGGAAGTATGCAACTGGCACAAAGGTTGGAGGTGGGAGAATGGCATATTATGGATTGTGGCTTCAAGATATTTTAGCTTAAAGTCAATAGCATACAATTTTTAAAAGTATTAATACAATTGAAAATAAAGTTCAGGCATGGGGAAGGAGGAAGTTTAAGAGAGTAAACATTAAGAGGTGGGCAAAGACACTACCTAAAAGATAAATCATAAGTAAGGATATAAAGTAATAACAAAAATAATAAGATGAAGAAAAACGATACAAATAAATAATACAATAATCCTAAAAGGCTAATATGCAAATAGACCAAACTGCGGAACAACGGAACAATGGAACAACCGGTCGCTATGATGTGTGCTGACCACCAGGGGGTGTGCGCAGAACATGGCAGGTGTCGACCATGGCGGGATGGTGGAGCAGGTGAGTGGGGGTGCCAGGCCAAGGCGGCCAGGGGCATTGGTTGCTGTCACTGGGGCGAGCCTCTGGTGGTTACTGAAAATTCTTTGCTCCCGCATGCCGCAGTTCCGCCAGGCACTCGCACCTGCTGCCCACACTGGCCCTGCTCCAACCCACTGTCAACGCTGTCCCCGCTAGCACCTGCAGCCGGCGCTGGAGCTCCTGCATCATTGGGATGCAGGCACTGATCCCAATCGCTCGGAGCCATCAGCGGGTGCAAGCAGTGGCTGTTGGCCCTGATCACCCCTGAGGGTTTCTTTACCTCCCCCTGCTCCTCAGGTGCCATTGGTGCAGCAGCCTCTGCTCACACCCATTGATGGCACCAGCCCCGCACATACCCTCTGAAGTCGCCAGCCCCAATTGCTCCACCATCAGCGGGTGGGAGTGGCAGCGGCGGTGGTGGCCGGAGTGGGACTGCCAGCAGATAGGGGACCAGGGGCTGTGGCAAGAGGGGCCGGGGCAGGGGCGCAGAAGATGGGCCGAGAACCGCCCCTATGTCTACAGCAGCCTCTCAGCCCACAGTTTCTTTCAAGGTGCACGAATTTGTGCACTGGGCCCCTATTTAAGAAATAATAATACAAGAGTAAACTGTGTTTTGCATACTCATGACTATAAACCCTCTTTTGCCCACCTTGTGTATTGTGGGTGTGTGTGTGAGAGAAAGAGATTGTGAGAGACACAGAGAGAGAGAGAGAGAGAGAGATTTAGAGAATGAATCGGATTGAGTGGATATGAATTATAACTCTAATAAAACATTTTCACCCCAATACCTGATGCAAAGTATATATGGAGATTTTCTGCTAAAGAGTTTGGCTAGAAGAAGATTGTCATGAAACTAAGTGATTTAAATATGTATGAAACAAAACTAGAAAAGTATGTACACAGAAGGAAAGTTGCTTTTCTACATTGAATATCATGCTTTTAATACACCACCCAAGAAATCTTCCGAGTCTTCAAAAAATAAATCTAATTCTGCCTGAGAAATGATATTCCTCTAATTCATCTTCAGGCTTTAGTAAAATTATCCATATGTATATGAAATAATGTCCATTCTAAACTGTGATATCCAATTCATGTTTTTTTGGTAAACACTGAATTGTTTTTGCTTTTTTAAAGCTGTTGGTTTTATATACTCCTGCCTCCCCTTTTTCATGGCTTATGTATGCTGTCATTAAAATTAGAAATGCTACTGAAACGGAATATATTAATGGCTTAGTGAAGATAGGATTGCTCTTTGGATATAAGGCTGTGGTTCCCCATAAACTAAGCCTGGCCGTGCAGAGCAGGGCAGGATGCTCTCGGCCTGTTCTCTGGAGCTTGGAGTCTTTGACCTTGGGTCCACCTCACTTTGAGCATGCACGGCTCCTGGATTACTGTTCTACAGGTATCTTTTACTCTCTGCAAATGGTTTCTGGTTCCCCTGACTTTCAGTCCTAACTGCCAGTCCTGCCACTCCAGCAGCTAACACCCCACATTCTCTAAAACAGAGGTGGGGAACCATTTTTCAACCAAGGGCCATACAAAATTATCCACTCAAAAATTAGCCTGCTCTATTTGATCAAACATTTAATGAACTCACCCCTAATGCCTTGGCAGGGCCAAACCCAATGATTGTGAGGGCCTTACACAGCCCATGGGCAGGATGTTCCCCACTCCTGCCCTAAAACATAATGTCCTGTAGTTTCTTCATGTTGTGTCTTTACATGTCACTCAACAGTTGTTCTGTACCAGATGAAACTCATTCTTTTATGTATTACGTGGGGGTACATTAAGAATCACTTCCTTGAGGAAACCTGCAATTTTCATGGGGAAAGGTCCACAAAATATACAATGGATTAATATATGAACTTCTTGATATATTTTCTTGGCATCCTATAGCAATGGTTTAAGTTAATTTTGAGAATTCTTGTGTCTTGAATCATCTTTTTGCTAGACTGATGTATAAATCCTTCCACTGTCTGCTCCCGACACCCAAAGGGCTCATGTTGTGAACACTGCCCAGCGAACCACTAAAACCCAGTGGGAATCACATATAAAGGGACTCAAATATGAAAAGGATGGTATTTTACGAGCAGTGGACATTTTTGTCATAGGTATTTCAACTGACACTGGCTTTATTACTACCCTGCGTCCATCTACATCTGAAGTCTCAGACTCCAGTAGTTGTAATACAATAGGTGTAAGAGGTGGCAAAAGCCCATTCTTGTCAGTGTGTCACCAAACATATTATCAAAGTTAATCTCATAAGGGTGTCAGAGGAAATTAAAGTTGCCTTTGGCTCTGTGCTGTAGGAACAGACTGAAATTTCAAACTCCCTCAGTAGCTGCCTGCATAGCCGCAGCAGGAAGCCTTCAATTAGCTGTATCAGTTCTATTTGTAGTACAAAGGATCTATGGCTTAGGCTAGCCTACATCACTTAACAAAGGAAAATACCCAACTAGATCTTAACAGTCTGGCGAAGTGCAGCCTGAGAGAAAAGGATACACAGGGTCAGGCAGGAGCATGGAGCATAGTAACTGGTTCAAAGGCGAAGGGTCTTAGGCGGGGCTTTGAACCATGTTCTGTGTAGTCAATAAGAAATTCAGCCAAAATTTCTTGGAAAGAAAGGTAAGCCAGAATGCAGAGCAGCATTCTCTATTCTAGATAGTATACCAATACAATTCAGTAATATGAAGTGATTTAATAGAGAAAAAGACAGTCTTTTAGAGGAATGGTGTGTAGAAGAATTCTTGAGGTTATAATTAGAAATTCTTATGGATTTGACAGTGAAAGATGATTTCCATATGATGCTCAGCCTGGCCCTGTTTCTGGAACTACAGTTAAGAAAAACGTGGAGAAACATGAAAGAGAAAGCATTAGAGACTGCTAGTGTTTCTAGTATTTTCTTTGACTTTTTGAAACTATACCTTACACTAATTTTTGAGAGAAAAAATTTGGAGAGTGAAACTTGCATGTCTTTTGCATAATTTTAGTTAAAGCCGAATGATCTCAATTTTACCAGCTTTGTTTTTCCTCTTTTGCCTCTTGCTCCTTCTGCTATATGTACTATGGCTAATTAAGTAAATTAATGTTGAAAAAAAGTTTTTGAAGCATTTATAAAATTGGTGGGGATCTCTGGGTAACAGCACAAAATTAGATTTGAAAGTCATGGAAAGAAATACTGTGGCTCAATGAGGAAGTTAGGTTTGTGATACTACTGAAAAAAATCTCTATTTTGGTTTTCTCTAAATTAGGGTTCACAATACAAAAGTCATTCTGAGAATATGATTAAGATAAAAAGTCTGATATTTTGCACAAAATTTTGTAATTATTTTTGGAAGATAATTTTCACAGATGAAAAGATTGATCAAATTAAAATAAGTATCTTTAGGGAACCAATCGATGAGTTTCCTGAATTGATATATTCATGTGGAATTTAAATGATGTTAAATTTTAATATTTTTTTAGTTCTGAACTTACTGGCATGTGTATCTTATATAAATATAGTTTGTATGAGATGTTCTCTAAAGCAATTTTAAGTCAAATTAATGAATTAATTTTTCAGAAAGTATACTTTTGGAGCTGATAAGTAGCAAAGATTAATACTAGTGTACTAGTAACATAAGTGTAGAGAAACACATTACTGTAGCATCTTATATGTAAGTGGAAACAAATAAATTATTAAGGTAGAACAGTACAGTTGACCCTTGAACAATATGTGATTGAACTGCACAAGTCCACTTATAATGCTGATTTTTCCCCCCAATAAATACCTGTATAGTTTTCAGTCCATGGTTGGGAGCTGCAGATGCAGAGGGCTCACTGTAGGCATTGATACACACCATTTTATATAGGGACTTGAGCTTTCCTGGATTTTGGTATCTGCAGGGTTCCTGGAACCCATCCCCTGTAGATGTCAAGGGACAACTAAGTTTTGGGGGAGTCAAAAGTTGTAGTGAATTTTCGATTGTGCGGGGTGTCAGTGTCTTGAACCCTGGAGCTGTTCAAGGATCAACTATATATTCATAAGCCTGAAGAAGGAATGGACTAAATGCTCTTCTGGGTCTTCAGATCAAATGGACTTTTGGTCCTTCACTTCAAAAAATGAGATATGACCTATAATAATAACTTTTCCCCCCTTTTACTTAGTTTTTCGTAGTTCCTATTAGAGCATTAAAAATTACTTACACTCATAATTATATACAAGAGCAATCTCTTTGGTAGGAGTTTTATTCTAAAAGTTATACAAAGTTTCCAATTCATAAATAACTTTGCACTAATAGCATTAATACTAAATATACATTTTATGGTAGTGATAAATACACAAAAAGATAAGAATCGAGAATAAGGATTTATTATGGATTATAGCTTATCATCATTCAACATATGAAGCAATAGAAGGTAATACTTCTCCATTTTCATTGCTCTTTCCTTCTAGATCAACAATTCCCTGATATTTGAATAAAATAAAAAGTTAATGCTTTAAGAACGGCACAATAATATAATAATGTATATTCTACCTGAAACAACGTTGTTAACATGCTATGGAAGCTGCTTCCAGAACTGAGGGAGAGACTTGGGCATGTGATGTTAGCCAACCCTGTGACCACTTCAGAAAAATAAACAATGTTTTACATACCAATGTTGAACAAAAAATGATACCCTTACTAAAAGCCACTTCTGCTGCGTGGTTCCAGCAAATGATTTATACATTTAGTAAGATGGCAGGGATTTTCTCAGCTAATGAAAAATCTTCTAGGAAAAGAAATGCTTGTTGAGAAGTCTCTGAAAGGGTGTGAAGTTTCTTATTTTACATTCATTAACTTTTTATTTTATTCAAAGATCAGAAATAGGTGGTTGGTCATGCATTGTAAACTCACCACCTGGGTCCACCCAGCTCTCTGAGGGATTTCCCCCTCATGTCACAAATTTCTGAAGATATATTTCATGTTTGTGAAAGCATTGGGTGCATAATTTTATAGACATTTTTATAATGTACATTATAAACATTATATATACAAATATATAATTATATACACAAATCTATAATTACATACAAATGTATAATTATGTACTACACATTTATGTGTAGATGTATGAAAAATAAAGTATATGTACCCAACACTTGGAATAGTGTTGGGAGTTTAAATATAGACATGTAGTCTTAAAAAATCAGATCAATCAGTATAGAAAGGCTTACAGTGAGAAGAAGCTGTTCTCTTTCCCATTTCGTCTTATTGCTGTCCTGTTTCCCATATTAGTCAATTTTAACAATTTCTGATTTTTATGCTTAAGGTGATGATGTCTGTATCTTTAAATAAAATACTTGATTTATTTACTTTAAACATTGTCTATTGACCTATTGCATGGTGATGAGAATAACTTACTAATTTTCCTCTTTCCTCTCCTACTTCATAATATAGGTACACCACATTCTTGTTTTTTCCACTTATTATTATTGTCATCATTATCTCAACTGTTTATTAGTGCTCAGTAAATTCAGGAATAATGGGATTCTTTACTGGTCTTCAGTTTGTTGAGGCATATGCAGATTTCAATGATTTGGAATGTAAGACTAGCAAACTGGAAACACCCTTAAATGTGCTTTATTAAGTAAAGTGGTTACACTCAAACTACTATATTTTTGTTAAGAAAATAAAAATTTAAACCGCTTGACTTAAACTGGAGGGA